GGAGCACAAGTACATGCATATGGAAAGATGAAAATTAGCCCAACATGCCTAGGAAGAAGGCTGGCTATAGGGCAGGCTGGGATGGATCTTGAAAGTAACAGATACAAGAAACCGGCCCATATGACATGCTTAATCAATACGATCAGCCAACCCAGTTTTGACATGGCTGCCATAAAGATCTCCCCTGTTAGCAAGGAGGGTAGAAAGTCAGAGAGGAGGTCAGAAGGGTCGGGGAAGGTTCTTCGTGGTTTTCTGCATGATTTGAGTTCCGGGGTTCGACTGTTACGCCCACAGATGACACTAGCAGATCCAGTACAGAGAGCCGTGTTTAATATACAGACGTCTCGTGACGCAGTGCAAAGGGACCTGCTGAACATGGGAACGCCGTTCGTGCGTACGTGCTATCCAGTTAGACTGCATGGACGCTTTGTGATGCGACCCACGGGTCTAACTAAACCAAAGCTGGGTGTTGGGCTTCCGATAAAGCTGTGAGTGCTGAAACGCATTCTTCTTAGCCTTCTCGAACCGTCATTCCCCTTTTGTCCGTGTATCAAAGCTCTCCTTCTAACGGCTCCTTGCTTCCTTCCACCCTGAATATTATGTCGAGAGTTACTTCGAAATGTGCTACAAGTCGGTTACACGCCAGAAGCCCGCCCTCTTGAACTGTAAAGATTTCCGACGATGGGCAAAGTAAAAGTAAAGTTGTCCCTGTGCTGAACTAATTAAGCACTATGCAATGAAGACGTATGGGGGAGTTGATGTATTTTTTTTCCTTGGCACTACAGCCCCAGTGGGCCTAGGCCTACTCCATGAACTTCTCCGTTCACTTCGGTTTTTCTAGATCTTACACATTCGGTAGGACTCCTTGGGCGGGTGATCAGCTCGTCGCAAGGCCTCTACCTGTACATAAACACAGAAAAACGCGCACACACAAACTAAACATCCATGCCCTGAGAGGAATTCGAACCCACGATCCCGGTTTCCAAGCGAGCTAAGACAGTACATGCCTTAGACCGCTCGCTACTGTGACCGGTGGAGTTGATGTATAGGTCCAGGTTTTCTTGACCTCGGCACTATTTGAACATGTCCCGACTGCTTTATTCCCGGGGAAGAAACCTACGGTGCCCATTGGAAAGGAAGCTGTGTGGGCCTCAGGGCAGGACTTCACGCTGTGGAGAAGAGGAAAATCTTAACCCGACTGACACTCGAATTCGGACCCATCGCTGTAGTAAAGCCCTTTCTTTTTGTTAGCCAAGGAACGATGTAACAAAGACTTCTGGCCTCGAATCCTACAACAGCGCATTAATCGCGCTCCGACATAAGTCTACGTGTCGATGCTCCCGCTTCACAAAGCCCGCATCGCCTTATGCCATTATTCCGCTTCGCTGGACTCACTCTGAACCTCCTTCACATACCAAGGCGTCTGCAGTGTCAAATGTAATTACAACTGTAATGGAAATTCGTATCGGATGAATTATCAGAGCCTCAGAACATTTCTACCACTTAACATCTGCAGTTCAGCAAACCCTGTCCTTGAACTTCTGCTCTCATACTAAACGCTCTATTGTGATGGGACTGAAGAGGTTTCCAAATCAGTTATTTGCGATATTGGTCAATCTAATGACGTCGATGTCCATTGATTGCTCGTACAGAGCAACATTTTCAGATATAATTAATCTACACTCAACCACCAGCATTATGGGCTGAATGGTGCAGTTAAAAGAAACGCTCAACGAAACTGACGATGGAATTAAAAACAGGCTCATTCTACTGGTCCTGACAACGCGGATTCTTGTAAGTGGCTAGCAACGTTTTCGAGGAATAAATTAACTTATATCTTCCGCCCCAATAACACAACACGTGAATTTCAGCCTCCAATATTGAGGCAGCATATTCTCCGAAACTTCGGTACTACACTACACGGTGACTTCTGGGATAAAGGCAGAGGCAGTAATTTCCCTCAGAAACCTCAGTATTCATTCACCAGACCTCACGGTGACTTTTACATTAGGCGTGTTACTCGTCCGTACAGTGTACTGCACAGTGAAGTAGCTCTACCTCGGAAACCGTTCGGAGTAGGACACATGTACATACACTCTTTCCTATCTAGAATGGCCGATACTATGACCTCCCAGAATACTGACTTTTCCTCCATGGACACTCTGTATATTCATGAAACCAGCCTTCCAGTTTGCAGTCAGGCATGCTGAGATATCGGGAATGAAAGGTACGTCACGCTTCTGTGCAGAAATGTTTTACAGTAAACCCTATTGTGTATTAAAAGCACGGAAATTCATACATGCATATTTATAAACACGAGGCAGTACAGGATGAATATTTAGTTACTTTTGGGCAGACGCTTTTGACATTAATTGCTGAAAGCGGCGAAGCGACTTGGAGCGACAGTGTTGTGCATGAGTGACTAAAACAAGCGGGGGCAGGTGCATACCTCTGCAGTGACTGCGTTAAACTTTGAGACAGAGGAAGGGGGGTTCGAGGCTTCGCATAGATCAGCGGTTTCGACATTCTGCGAAGCATTCAGACCATCTCTGAGGTCCATCCAGCATCCTGTCCGACAAACTATTTCCCCGTGCAATAAAGATTCCGTCGCAATTATTGCCGCAGTTAAGAATGCGTGGATTTATACCTCCACTGCACCATCCGTCTTCATGACCTGGCCCTTAGTTAACAAAGATGATAATGATGGTGATGATGTTGATAATGATAATTTGTCTAATTATTCTCATCCGCAGTTCTATTTTTCGCTCTCGTTAGGTGTACGGACATTTACGGGAAAATTTTGTTAGTGATTTGTAAAGTGTGGAGTTCAGGGATAGCGCTGTAATTACTTGTAGTTCCGAGTGGTCTACAGACACACGCCCCTAAATACGTGGCAATACTTTACAATTTTTGCGATCCGGCAATGAAGGTTGACAACAACGTATATTACTTGTGGTGTTTTTTGCTGACGCAGTTCGTCGCCATCCGTAACACTCACTTCACGTCTTTTTGTTCACAGGGTAGCAAGCGGACGTAATGTTATTAGTGTGAAGGAGTACTCGCATGTTGCCATATCAACAGCACTCGCACAACGAATTTTCCATAACCATTCACCGAACGGTCTAACATACGGAAATACTGACACACGAACAACCGCTTTGCGAGTGGCGCAGGCGTATGCGCTGTGGGCTGGTGCTGTCACTTGCGTACCATCGACGTGGATTACAGAGCACAGAACTCTAAGATTCTTCATAACAACTTGACCAATGACGGGGTTCACACTCCATTATAATAAATAATTTAACGCTATGATAATTATTATAGATATTATAACAATTATCGGACATCCGGCTTTTAAACTTGTTAAATGCTCGAGAAGAGAAATATTCTGGGCTGCAGAGAATCGGTATTGACCGGAGCACCAATTGAAAAACAGTTGTATAGAAGGCTCAAACATGGAACAATGCAAAGGTAAACAATCTTGACGTCTTTTCTTCGTTACAAGCTACACAGCAAAAAAGTTATATACCACTGTTCACTCGCCAGAAGCTACAAATCTACACAAGTCATTCGGTCAGCATAACACTCTTCGCACAACAGAAGCTACACGTCCACACATGTCTTTCGGTCAGCATAACACTCTTCGCTCAACAGAAGCTACATATCCACACATGTCATTCGGTCAGCATAACACTCTTCGCTCAACAGAAGCTACATATCCACACATGTCATTCGGTCAGCATAACACTCTTCGCTCAACAGAAGCTACATATCCACACATGTCATTCGGTCAGCATAACACTCTTCGCTCAACAGAAGCTACATATCCACACATGTCATTCGGTCAGCATAACACTCTTCGCTCAACAGAAGCTACATATCCACACATGTCATTCGGTCAGCATAACACTCTTCGCTCAACAGAAGCTACATATCCACACATGTCATTCGGTCAGCATAACACTCTTCGCTCAACAGAAGCTACATATCCACACATGTCATTCGGTCAGCATAACACTCTTCGCTCAACAGAAGCTACATATCCACACATGTCATTCGGTCAGCATAACACTCTTCGCTCAACAGAAGCTACATATCCACACATGTCATTCGGTCAGCATAACACTCTTCGCTCAACAGAAGCTACATATCCACACATGTCATTCGGTCAGCATAACACTCTTCGCTCAACAGAAGCTACATATCCACACATGTCATTCGGTCAGCATAACACTCTTCGCTCAACAGAAGCTACATATCCACACATGTCATTCGGTCAGCATAACACTCTTCGCTCAACAGAAGCTACATATCCACACATGTCATTCGGTCAGCATAACACTCTTCGCTCAACAGAAGCTACATATCCACACATGTCATTCGGTCAGCATAACACTCTTCGCTCAACAGAAGCTACATATCCACACATGTCATTCGGTCAGCATAACACTCTTCGCTCAACAGAAGCTACATATCCACACATGTCATTCGGTCAGCATAACACTCTTCGCTCAACAGAAGCTACATATCCACACATGTCATTCGGTCAGCATAACACTCTTCGCTCAACAGAAGCTACATATCCACACATGTCATTCGGTCAGCATAACACTCTTCGCTCAACAGAAGCTACATATCCACACATGTCATTCGGTCAGCATAACACTCTTCGCTCAACAGAAGCTACATATCCACACATGTCATTCGGTCAGCATAACACTCTTCGCTCAACAGAAGCTACATATCCACACATGTCATTCGGTCAGCATAACACTCTTCGCTCAACAGAAGCTACATATCCACACATGTCATTCGGTCAGCATAACACTCTTCGCTCAACAGAAGCTACATATCCACACATGTCATTCGGTCAGCATAACACTCTTCGCTCAACAGAAGCTACATATCCACACATGTCATTCGGTCAGCATAACACTCTTCGCTCAACAGGAGCTACATATCCACAGAAGTGCGGAATCATGGTAACATGGTTCACTCACCAATGGCTGCAGTTAAATGCACTGGTGCAGAAATTTCACCATCAGCAATATTCTTCTTGGCGCTAACAGGTGATGTTGACGTCACGCAGGTTGTCCGTAACAACCTGAAATCAAGTTATTAACGCAGTAATTAGCTTCCTTAATATGTACACAATGTAAGCAAGGCAGTGCATAACACGACTGGAATATCAAATATCGATTCAGGCGTAAACGCAATCTCTAATCACGAGATTAACCAGCAATTGCCAATGTCGCGAACCGAGCGCCTCAGACAGAATTGCGGGCAGGAAGAAACGGTCAAAGGTAAAGGCTGAGTTGCTATGTGAATGAAGACGCGTCTTCTATTGTTGCGTCCATCACGTCACGGCTACTGAGCCACTGCATAGCGACGGGAGTGTTTGCAGAGTCATTCCCTAACAACGGTTACCTTTACTGGCTTCACAGTTCTGGCTTTCAGCACACATGCCACAATAGAAAAATACGAATTTTAACTGACATGAAAATTTCACAGCTTATGCACTATGGGAATGAAAGTTTTAACTGTTAGGTAGAGAACAATAAAGTTCACTTATCGCGCTGAAGTGCTATACAATTTCTAATCACACAGTTAAATGGCACAGGCAGCAACAATTCAATTCAATTCAATTCAGTTCAATCCAATTCAATGACTGTATCTATTAATCCCCCCATTTGCAGATTCAGATGCCTGGTTCGTTGAGTAAATAAAATGGCATTCAAAGGTTCTGTTAACCCTTTCTAGCTCTTTCAAAACATATTTTTTGGGGTGTATAATAAAACATGTTTTGTATTTCATTTCTTTAGTGTGAACAACATTTCTGCGAATTATAAAGTCCACACAGAATCAGATAGCACGTACGGCGCTCATCGTGCATAAAATGAGCAACTTCTTACATCCTACCACGACCAACCCCCTGTAGGTCCTGTGGACACAAACCATATAATGTGAGTATCCACATGCCACATGCCGCACGCCACTCGCTCTAAATCGGGGCCAAACATTCACAATACGTCATACTACTTACAGTCTTTCGGTCTAGGCAGGTAAAATTACAAATTTACAATTTATCAATAAATGGGCAGGTCGTAGTAAAAGAACGTTTATTGCTGTCGTTCAGTAGACACGGTCCTGGTATCAACACACCATGCGTTTGCACTGACTACATGTTTCGGCCTACCGCGGCCATCATCAGGAAGGCAGAGCTTACACAATCACCTTGCTTTCTACCCGCTATACCTCCCCACACTGGTCAGTGCTTACACACCGCAAGTGCGGTGTACAGGTATGTTGTTACTCTAACGCCCTTATGTTATAAAATATTAAAATTTCAATTTTTTAAAATATTAAAACTATTCTGATTGGAATTAAAATTGAGCTGTGTCTTAAAAGATTTTATACATACACAAACACACACTGTTGAGGACCAAATTTGGGGATTGAAAATTTAAGTCATTACCTAGGTGCCTGGAGACTTGCGAAAGGTGTTTTGCAGTGAAAGAGCAAAGATGACAACACATGGACACGCAATGAGGTTAAGAATGCGATAATCAGCATTCATGCGTAATACCGTATGCAAGACGCTCCGCTAACTAGGCCACTGGAGATGGTCATATGAGTAATACACAGCGATAAGACGCAAGAGGTCCACCCCCAGCCACATAGAATA